GAGTTGCTGCAGGCGGTCCTCCAGCACCCGGTTGCTCTCCTCCGGCTGCCGGTTTTCAGTGCTGGTGGCTTGCTGCGTGCTGCGGAGGCTGCGGCACCGCGTCTCCAGCTGCGGGATGGCAACCAGGACACTCACACCGTGCCAGGACCCCCACGAGACCCATGCCAAAGAATGTTGGATAACCATCTCCTCCAGACCCAGGGCTGAACTTCCACCCCTCGGGGTGCTGGGTGGGAAACTCAACTTGGATGCTTTGGAGATGGAGGGGAGCATGGGGATGGGGTGGCAAAGGAGAGGTGCTGTGTGACAACCTGCATCAAGGGTTGGTGAGGACAGACTGAGACCCGTTGTACAACACCATGTTGCTGCTGTGGGGACAACCCAGAGACTCCACGTGCACCATCAGGGACCAGGGCTCGGGGCCAGCTCACCTCCATCTGCGCCTTGACCAAGCGCTGCACCTCCCTCTCGCTGGCGTCCAGCGCTCGCTGCAGCTCCACGCCATGCTGGTGGCTCCGGGCCATGCTCTGCAATGGCAACAAGGACGCTGGCACGCACCCACCCACCTGTCTGGGAGCTGCCATGGAGGTTCAGGGGTGCTGGGTCCCCCCTTGGGTGAGCACCAAGGGGAGAGGAGCCCCCCCTCTCCCCCGGCCGCTGCGTCCCCTGCTGAATCTGCTGCTCCAGGGCCTCGCAGAGCTGCTGCACCTCCTGCTCGTGCTCGGCCACGCGCCTGCCAGGGACGGCACGGCCAGAGAGGTGGTCAGACCCTGCTGCAGTAGGTGCAGGTTCCTGGGACCTGCATTGCCCGTGGGATCTGCAGGCTGCAGCCAGGTTTGCCCGGAGGGGTTCACCCAGCAAGGATGTGTCCAGCAGTCTGAATCCGGCACTTTTGCCATCCCCTGCGTGACTGTAGAGGGAGCCCAACCCCAAACATCGGCTGGGAGCCAAACCTCTTCTCCAGCCACTGATGGAGGTGCCGAAAGCACCCAGGTTTCTCCCTCCTTGGGTGCATCTCCAGGCTGGGGTGAGCAGAGGGCTCCACCCCGTCCTCATCCCATCCCCCTCCACCGCACTGGGGTGACTCACTTGTTCAGGGTCACCTCCAAAGCCTCCTTCTTGCTCTTGGCTTCTTGAATGCGATGCCTCATCTTGGTCAGAAAGTCCTCTAGGTTGCCCAGGAGCTGGGGTTCATCCTGCCGGAGCTTCACCCAGAGCTGCCAGATCTCCTGTCTACAGGGAGAATGTTTTTTTGCGGTGAGCATCCCCTGAAACCCCCCAGAGACGCGCCAGCTATGAGGTCCCAGGTCATTTAGCTCACACCATGGGGAACATGTCCTGGAGGACAGATGAGCATTGAGGTGATCATGACCCTGTCCCCTGCTCCTGCACTTGGGGCAAAAGCACCTCCAAGCCATTTCTGGGCTCGCTGTCTGCATGGGGACCAAACAAAGGGGAACACCCTGCCCTGCCCCAAGCCTTTCCCCCTTGGGCAGCTCTGCCCCATCCTGCAGGACACCCATGGGTGCTAAACAGGGCGCCTCACTCTTCAGCGATGTTGTCCGTGCCCAGCTGGTCCATAAAGGCAGCAAAGTGTCTCCGCTCCTCACTGTCCATCCCCTCCAGCGCTGGGCTGGGGAGGACCAAGCGAACTCTCCGGGATGCCGTTTTCCGCCGGCGGTGCTCCCTGGCAGCTTTTTGGGAGCTCAGGAACTGCCCTGCCGACAGACACCACAAGACCTCAGCACCCGGCCAGGGCAACGGCAAAGCCCAAAGCCCAAGACTTCCCACCCCACGGCTTCCACAAGGCCCTTTGGTGCAATGGGACCCCTCACCAGGCGAACCATGGGCTGAGACCCAGGCGTGGGGACACTTCTGGGGCCATCGTGTGCCACCCAGAAAGGGGAGCATTTCAGGTCCCACCCCAGGAGAGCACCGGGGCTACATCCAGGATGAACCCAGGCTGCTCGGAGGCTGTGTGCTGGCACTTACAGAGCCCGGCAGTGAACTCCTCAGTCCTCAACCGCCCAGTGCCGGTGGCATCCAGCCCATCGAAGACAAGCTCCAGCTCCTCCGTGCTGCATGGGAAATCCCGCTCCTGCAATTTCTAAGAACAAAGCAAATCAGGGGAAAAAACCTACCCATCATCCAGTCTGCAGGCACCGCGGTGGCATTTGACCCGAGAAGACATCTCCATCCCTTACCTGCATGTCTGAGCGGGTGACAAACCCTGCCTGGTCCATGTCCTGCTGCCTGAAGAAGTCCTGCACCCTCTGCACGATTTCAGATGCCGGCTCCTCACCGGGGCTGGGGGCTGCAGCCGGTGC